TGGAGGGCTGAGATTGCAGAGCTGTTGAATTGCCTGGAAGCAGTTGGTCGGCAGAAACGCCCTCAACCTTGTGGAATCTAACAGGGCCCCAGTGATCTCAATTTTTTGAGCTGGATCCAAGGTTGACTTTGTGATGTTTAAAATGAGTCCCAGACACTAATGTGAACGCAATGTGGTATCAATGTGGGCGAGAAGGTCTTCTATATAGCCACCCTTCAGTAACCAGTCGTTGAGGTATGGGAAAACATGGATTCCTTTCCACCTGAGATATGCATCAAATGCATGGCAGTTGTTATGGAAGATTGGGGGGCAGAAGAGAGGCTGAACAGGAGAACCATATACTGAAAGCGTGTTCTCCTACCATAAAATGAAGTTACTTCCTATGGCTTGTTAGAATAGTGACTTGAAAGTAAGCATCCTGAAGGTCCAGAGTTGTTCTGAAACGACGTGGGGAGTAGTCAATAGAGTGAGCATGCGGAATTTCATGTACTTGTTGAATTTGCTAAGGCCCTGAAGGTCAAGAATGGGTCTCATCCCACCCTTGGATTTTGGTATCGGGAAGTACCAGGAGAAGCAGCTGTGGCCCCAGTGTTCCTCCACTGCTCCCAAAGTTAGAAGAGAGTTGACCTGCTTGATGAACAGTGTCTCATGAGAAGGGTCCCTGAAGAGGGACGGGAAGCAGGAGTGGGAAGGGGGCCTGGAAAGGAACTGAATTGCATAGCCCGATCTGACAGCGTGTAGGACCCAGCTGTAGGAGGTAATCAAGTCCCAATCATTGTAAAAATGGGCCAGCCTGTCCCCAAAGGGGGGGGGGGTGACAAAGAGGGCAGAATAATGACTGGACCAGTACTCTGGACTAAGGAGTCCAAATGGGCCCTTAGCAGGTGCCAAGGAAGGGCATAAGGACTGTCCAAAGCCTGAATCTGCCTGCTTCTTTTTGTGGGATCTATCCCTCTTTATAGGGTATTCCCACTGTTTCAGAGAAAGGTTGTGCAAAGGAATGCTGTGGGCAATATTGTTGCTGCTGCTGCGCCCCATAGTGGAGTCTGCACAGATGGCGTGTACACTCCCAAGGACCCCAAGGTAGCTTTGGAATCCTTAAAGGAGTGCAAATAATCAGTCCTGTCCAAGAGCAAGACTCAGCTGTCAAAGGCCAAGTCTTCAATGGGCTGGATGTCCAAAGTGATCCCAAATTTTGCAACCAGGAAGCCCTCCTCATAGTTACCACCAAGGCCATCACCTGGCTGAGGTGTGTGCAATGTCAAGGGCGGACTGCAGGGACGTTTTGGCCACCACAAAACCTTCCACAACAAACACCTGAAACTCCAGCCTCAGGCAACTGGTCTTCGAATTTAGACATGGCTAACTAATTGAGGAAATCATACTTGGACAGCAAAGCTTGTTGATTTAAAATCCTCATCCGTAGGGACGATGAGGTATAGACCTTCCTGCCCAGAAGATCCAACCACTTGAAGTCTCTGTCCTCAGTGGTACACTTGAACCCACTCTGTCGGTCGCTGTCGTTTCCACCATTATGGTCAGGGAATTCGTGGATAGGTGGGAACAGAACCCTTCAAATCCCTGCATGGGACCAAAGTAGGACTTTTTTATGAACCTTGCCACTGGTGGTACAGAGGCTGGTATACTCCACAGGGCTCTTATTGACTCAAAGAGCACATCATTGATTGGGAGGGCCACACTCCCAGGGACAGTGGACTTAATATCTACCAGTGTGTTGTGTACTCTCCTGAAGAAACTCTGCCTGGATGCCCAGGGATGTGGCTATGTGGAGTAAAAGGTCCTGGCATACCTTAAAGCCCTCCGGAATAGAAGGGGAGGCTGAACCAGGCAGCACAGCATCATCCAGCAATGAGGAAGAGGGTCCTGGCTGAGCAAAAACTGGTTCTTGCCTCTCCGAAAGATGTATCTGGAAGGGAGGACTCATGGCTTCTCAGGGAGAAAGACTGCTGATGCCTGGGCTTGTGGCTCATCCAAAGTCACCACCATTGAACTGACAGGTGACTTCAGCTTTGAATGGGATGAAAAGTGGGATCTCTGCAAGCAAGGAATGTTCCACGGAGTCCAAGGTGGCCACTGATATGGGTAGGGCATTGGTGACCAGTAGAAGCCTGGCTAAAGTCCTCTATCCTGGCCACATGCCAATTCTGAGAGCCACACTGGTCCATTGGCAGCCCCCCGAGTTTATTAGGAGATGCGGAGCAGGAGGATGACAACTCTGACTTGGAATCAGAGCCCCTGGATCTCGGCGACATGGGCGGAGTGACGCCTGAGGGAGCCAATAGCTCAGTCCTCCATTGTCCAGAACAAGGCAAGAATCAGCTCCCGCGATTAACACAGTACTGTCAGTACCGAGCATGTCAGGCAGCATTGGTCCTGGAGGCAACAGTGGTACCAAAGCACCCAAGTACACTGATGTCCAGAATGATGAGAGCCCCCAAGGGAACACCTGAGGTATCAAATGTAGCAGGGCCAAAGAGGGCCCCGGTTCCGATGCCCCTGCACCGATTCCAGTACCAGCTCCATGCCCACCACAAGGAAGGAGTGTCTAGGTGCAGTGCTGACGGACATGAAGGTTCAGCGGGGCACGCCACTGGAGGGGCTGCTGAAGGCGTGAGCATTGCAAAGTCCTGGACCAGCGGTGAGGACAGAATGGAAAGGCAGAGCAGGTCCACTAGACTGGTACTGGCATCACCCTCATTGGGACCTGGAGACTGGCACTGGAGTCAACGATATGGGGTTTATGTCCTTCCCACTTGGTACCTGTGACATCCCATATACCGGAACTGGTCACATGCCGATCTGTGCTTTTCCTGGGTGAGGCAGAGGAGTTGCCCCGCGACCTGGAGCAGTCCTGATTGGTCTTATGAGACCTCTTCCTCAGCACCAATAATGGAGAGCAGCTCCTCTTTCTCTTCGGAGAAGCACCTGCCCCAGAATGAGAGGTGGCAGCGCTCGCTGAGCCTGACGGCCATCTTTAGCCTGAGAAGGGCTTCAGTACTGGATCAGGCCGCATGGCCTGTTCAAGAAGATGCTGCTTGAGAGGAAGGTCCCTGCGCCACCCGAGTGCACTTCTTGAATGATCTACAGATTGAAGAATGGTCTATAAGGTGGGCCTTGCCAAGACAAAGCAAGCACCTCATGTGGGGGTGTCGCTGTTGGGGATCGCCTCTCCACATGAAGGAGAGCATTTAAACCCTGGTGCGGGCATCAGCGGGGAACACTATCAACTAAGGGTATGTCTATATTACCTGCCAGACCGGCGGGCAGCGATCAATCCAGCGGGGGTCAATTTATTGCGTCTAGTCTAGACACGATAAATTGACCCCCGAGTGCTCTCCCGTTGACTCCTGTACTCCACCGCCGTGAGAGGCGCAGGCAGAGTCGACGGGGGAGTGGCAGCAGTCAACTCACCGCAGCAAAGACACCATGATCAGTAGATCTAAGTACACTGACTTCAATTATGTTATTCATGTAGCTGAAGTTGCGTAACTTAGATCGACTCCTCCCCCCCACCCCCCAGTGTAGATCAGGCCTAACACTCTCTACTAACCACTGACTAATGCTAAGTATATACAATAAACTAGGCTAAAACAAAATGTGCCGCCCCTCTATGGGTACTGCTAGACAAAAGTCTCTGGCTACGGAGCGCCGGGCATGCACACACAAGTGTAATACATGTCTGCATCTACTTAAAGAACACCTACTTCACACAGATATGAGCCATCAGGAAAAAAATTTAAGCCGTGAAATGTCTTTAGTTTCTTTCATGCATTTTAACATTAACTGATCTGTTCTATATTTCCTTCTCTAAAAGGAAGCATAAGAACATAAGGGAAAAATTAACTTAATTTATCCTACAGCACAGCTGAGAGAGAGGATTTCAATTGTCAGCTAAAGAATCACACTAAATGGTTACCTGGAAATACAGTAAATTCTGAAAAAATAGCAGTGTTGCCCACTCACAATATTTGGTGTTTTTCTAAAAAGCACCCCCCGCTCTCCCGAGTCCTATTTCACGAGAACCTCCGCTTTCATAAAACAGTAAGTTTATAGACTTCATGGGTGTGGAGAAAAGCTTGAAACCATGCCATAAGTGTGTCCTAAAGGCTCAGAAACAAGACAGAGAAAAAACTGCCAATTTTTTTTTTTTTTTTAAATCTCATGGGCTTTCGGACCTGACCCATGATTTTTGAACACTTGGGGATGGCAACACTGACCACATATGTCTGGAATTCTGGCACCACAAGAGGTCTCAACCCAGCGCTGACAGTCACTTAACCTTTTCATAAAGGTTTCTCCACTGAAAATTTGGGACAATACTACTTATCAAATGGAAGTTAATACTGTGAAGATTAGCTAATGATTTCTACCAAAGTACAGTGATGATTTATATTGCTTTGCATTCTAAGATAGATTTTGATTTTACCACAAGCACTAGGTATGGTGCAGCATGTAATTGCACCAGCTAGGGAGCAGACCAAGAACCACGTTGTGACTCAGAATCAATATGGTCCTTTGTTCCTACTTTGCTCCTGGGATGGGAGGAAAGAGAAGTAGCAATCTGAACCAATTTTGTACCTGGCACAATTACTTTCCCACCAGCCCAACTGCAAAGGTTGGTGCATTGAAAGGAGGGAGGGAAGTCTCCCAGAAGTTGCTTGTTTCTCTTTCCTCCATGCTGCAACCTGCAATATGGATAGCATTGCCTGTGCAGATGAAAAATGGGGCACCTTCTGCCTCCTTACACCCCTGCACAAATGTGCATAGCAGGTTATGATTGTGGTCATTACTAGGAGTGTGATTTACCAAGGCAAATGCTCAGCAATAGGATACAAGCTGAAGTACTGATTCTTAATGACCAAGTTGAATTATTTAATTGAAAATCCACCCAGTATTTTCTGACAGAGACATGACTCCATTTCAGTTATATTGTACATCCTCATCTGAATTCAAAAAAATATGTAAAAAAAACCACTTACCTGATCAACATGAAGAAGTCCACAGTGCATTATATTGTAGAAATGAGTTAAAAAATCCCTATTTGGAGAAACATCTTGTCTTCGCTTCATTGTATTACAAATAAGCTTATAAGCATGTAGCTTGCCTTGTTTGTATTTATCAGTCAACATGGTTGCCTACAGTTTTTAAAAAAAAAAAAGTACTTATTACACAAACGAAGTAACAGGTTAATGTTAGCATTGTTCTATATTATATGAACATCTCTTATCTACTGAATGGTTTATTGTATTTACCTTGAAAAGCCATGGAGTTAGAATTCTCAGTGGTGGGATTAAAACTGGTGGAGATGGTGAAGTCAAATTATCAGCTGAAATACCAAGATTATCTCTTATCTGTAATTATTTAAGAACACAGAGGCAGTATGTCAGAAATTTATAGTTTTTGATCCATTCTCAAGCTCTTGCCCTATCAAGCTGGTTTGTAGAGAAGGTTCTTGTACCTTAGCCAGGTTCTGCCAGAGTTCACACAAGTAATCAAAAACTTGCGCATGAATTTCAGGGTCCATAATGGTGTTGACATCTCCCAAAATCCCTAGCATTCGTCTCCACATTACAGTAGCAACATCCGCATGCCATCCTGTAAGGGTGCCCCCTGCCATCACACTGCAACATTCTGATGGGAATTCACTAGTTTCTGTAATAGGAGAAAAATGTACAATAAGAACGACCTTTGGTAAAGTGGAATAAGGTCTGATATTTAAATCATGAATAGTTTCCTTAAAACAAGTAATAAATGGATAAGGCATGTATGCAGACTAAGTACAATAAAGGTATTTCTAATAGAGCTAGCCACTTTAGCACTGAGTCATCCGATCTTGTTATTAAATTAACTACATCAGTCTACTTTTCCTTACTAAAGACATTTCATTTATACTTTTGCTTCAATGAAGCTGCAAATCTCCAACATTCCCCATTCAAAGGATCATCAGAAAATTTGCCTTCGGCTTTAAATCTTACTCACTAAAGCAGTTGGACCTTTTTCCTTTAGCATTTACCATGACTGACTCTTACTTGCAAATTAGGGAAGAGAATCCTGAAGAAAGTGTGAACTGCTGTATCTTGCCACTAGTCCCTCCTTAGTCAGCTAGTGAGGGGGCAATACTCAGTAACTCAGCCCAGGAGCCTGAAAGCATCACACAAGATGCAGTTCTCTCCACTTCAAAGTAGTGCAAATAAAACCTACTTTTCCAGCTGGCAGATAGTTTATCTACTTTTCTTAGCCCCCCCAAAAACCTAAATAAGTTAAGATTGGTAAATATCTATCAACTGATATTAAACATTAAAAACTGTCAATTATAAATACTATGCACAAGCTATGAATACTATGAAATACATAATACTATGAAAGTCGGGATATTCAATGCTGTGTTTTCTCAAAAAACAAAAACAAAAAAACTCCACTTCATATGGATGGCAGCTGAGATATGGGATCATAGTGTAGTATTTTATGGTACAGTATGGTAAAATCTAAAATCTTATTTGAGCATTACAAACAGAGGATATCGTTTTTGGAGAGAGAATGAGGTTAGATTTGAATTTTTGATACACAGGATTAGTTTTTCAAAATGCCTAGGATTTTAAAGTGCTCAGCACACAACTGGAGCCAGTTAAAAAAAAAAAAAAAAAAAACACCCCACCCCTCCCCCACCACACACACAGGAGCTGGCTGGAAACCACAAGAAATTCCAGAATTTCATAAACAAACAATGCTCTGAAATGGAAAAAATGAATTTTTTAAATTTCCTGCAGAATGAGAATTCCAAAATTGAGTTTTGAAAAAGTTTCGAAAGAGTGGAAATTTTTTAACATTTCTGAGGCTCTCCAAGCTGGCCAGAGCCTTGGTAGCCTGCCATGTGGGGAGAGTCAGGGCTTCCAGGACTTAGCCAGGAGCCTAGAACCTCTGAGCAAACACTGGGGAGGCAAGCTGGAAGGAAACTGAAAGAAACGTGCTTGATTTCCACTGGGATTTTGTGAAAATCGACACGCTCCCATGGAATGTTTTGATTTCGACAAATTTGCATTTTTTGACAGAAATATGTTCCATCAGAAAATTTCCAACCCTCTCTACTCAGTTCACATTTAGGTACTTATACGAGGGCGAGAACTTCAAAAGTGTTAGTGCACAGCAGCTCCAATTGTGACACTTATGGTCAGATTTTCAAAACCTCTCACACCACCAGAACATACTGAACTCTTCTGAAAATCTGGCCACTTATTTAGATGCCTAAATGGGATCTGAGCTCTCTTGAAAATCTGGCCCCAACTGAAAACTGTGCTTTTAAAAAAAAAAAAAAATCTGGGCCATAGTGGCTATGGGAAAACACTATTAAAATAAAATAAAAGGAGATTGTGTATATAATATATATATATATTTAT